CAGCGTCGTGCGAGCCATCTTTGTGTGTGTGAGGGGATATGACTGCGGGCCTCGCCTGCTCGGCCGCCTCTCCTTTCCTCTCCCGTCGCCGACGCGAAGGGGCGAGGGGTCGGGGCGAGGCCCGCGCGCCTCTGCAATCTGCTGTGTGTGGGTCCTGTGAGACCTCGAGGGAACTGTTTGACTGTCGGCGGAGAAGGTGTCTCTCTTGGCACTTCACTGCCATCGTCTTTGTACAATTTATGCTTTGTAACATTGCCTTGGACTACGAAGGATGAAAAATACGTAATGCGTAATGCGTATGCGTGATACGTAGGGGGGGGGGGGGGCTCGGGGGCGCGCGGGGCGAGATACATAATCCGGAAACGTGAGACGTGGTACGTAAGGCACCCGCCGCGCGGGCCATTGCACCGTCCCCGGGGCAAAGCTTTGCGGTGAAAAGGACGTATGCGTAATGCGGATACGTGATACGTCGAAGACGCCCCGCCCTCCGTGGGCCGCGGCGCACCGGCGGAGATCCATAATCCGTATACGTGACACGTGGTACGTATGAGGCAACCACAGGGCCATCGCACCGTCACGCACGCGATGATTACGTGTATGTATTGACGTTTTCTATTTATTTTTGAAGGGGAGGCGTTCGACGGGCTGCGTAATGCGACGCATTTGGACTGGCAAGTGACGTACACGCACCGAGTTTACGTATTCCCGAGAGGGCGTAATGTGATGCGTATGCATATGGGCCTCCGTGCATATGCGTAGCAGTACTGACGACGATTGCCGCCCACCGAAGAGAGCGCGTCGGGAGTACTACGGCATGCTCTACCACGGCGCCACGCTACTGCGCGATCACATCAACACCCCGGACGCGGGGCTCTACGTCGCCTTCCAGATCCTATCCAAGATGGTAACCATCAACCATCTCCGCGAGGGCCGTAAGGAGCGGACCAAGTCGGAGATGCTCGGGCGCGTCCGGATGGTCATGACAGGCGGCCTGGAGCAGCTGGTCGCCGAGATGGTGCGAGAGGCTTCCGACGCCGCCGCTGCCAAGCGGGAGAGGGAGGCGGCGGCGCGCGCCTCCGAGCTCGAGCGCCAGGGCGGCAGCGGGGCGGCTGCGGACGCTGCTGCAGCCATGAGGCGGGGAGCGCACGCTCCGTCCGGGGGGGGGGAGGAGGCAGAGGCGGAGGCGGGCGAGGAAGAGGGAGAGGGGGCGAGCGAGTCGAGCCGCGACGAGCGTCTCCTCGCCACCGTCCTCGGCCTCGCCGGAGCAAGACCAAGGCGGTGGGACGGCGCCGCTACCACCCGCCCAAGCTTACGCCGGCGGCGGAGCTGCTGCCTCTTCCGGAGTTCTCGTCTACCAGCGAGTTCTTACAGCAGGCGCAGCGGCGGTACACCGTCGGCGTACACCATCGCAACTGGCTCGCCCTCGCCGAAGCCTTCGTCAGCGAGGCATCCCGGCGGGGCGGCCGCTACAAGACTGGCAGGTGCAAGAACCACAAGTGCTGGCGCGAGGCGATTCGGTTCGTCGCAGTCAGCCAGGAGGGGGCTGGCGCCTTCCTGAATGCGATCCCCATGCGGGATGATATGAAGATGGAGACGTGGGCGATGCGCATTACAGTTCAGCGCCGCCTCGGCCTCCCGCTCGATGTTGCCTGCCAGGCGGTGGAGGCGGGCAAGAAGGCGCCAAAAATGGTTGGGTAGTAGGGCTAGAGGGTCGCTCTACACTTAGCCTCTGCAGCGAGCGAGCGCTCAACTTAGCCCCCGCACGGAGCCGGGCTCAGACTTAGACCCTCATGGTCGGGGGCCATGAACTTAGACGACATAAGGCCAACTCCGGGTAAAACCCGGGTATGCCTGGTTGAATCAAACCTGGTTTGTGGACCTCCCGCACCTGTCCTGACAGTCCTGACAGAGTCCTGACAGAGTCCTGACAGAGTCCTGACAGAGTCCTGACAGAGTCCTGGCGGGGTCCTGACGGCGCACGGTCTTCACAGTGCTCACAAGTGCCTCCGACGAGACCTCCACCTTCCTTCACTGCAACCCTCCTTCCCCTCCCCCCCAGCAGTGAATGATAGACGCCCAGCCCCCCTTTCGACCGTGCGCGCCCTCTGCGGAATCGTCCTGATGGGGCAGTCCTGACGCAAACTTGAGAGTCCTGACAAGCAAACTTGAGAGTCCTGACAAGCAAACTTGAGAGTCCTGACAGAAACTTGAGAGTCCTGACAGAAACTTAGAGTCCAGACAGACAAAAGAAATCACGCTCACTCTCGCGCCACTCGGCTCGACCATGAAAGCGCACAAGCAAGAGAGGCGCGGCCATGGTGCAGGCAACGTTACAGCCGGCAACGTGCAAGAAGGCAGCAAAGCTCGGCCACGACGTCCATGGCCCGCGCCCCCCCGATTTGCCACCGGCGGCCTGCAGGCCAGCGCCGAGCAGCGGACCGACTGCTGACCGACTGCTGACCGAGGCAGCGCCCACGGCAGCGCCCACAGCAGCGCCCACGGCAGCACCCACGGCAGCACCCACGACAGCGCCCACGGCAGCGCACACGGCTTGGCTGGCCATGTCAGCCGCGCAGGGACCCTCCCGCGGGTCCAACCCGAAGCGCTCGACCGCTCGACGGCGCAAGTCGGCTGACGGAGCGAGCCGCATAGCCCTCCAGTGCTCACCGCAGGATCAGGCCCGACCGGCCCACGCTCACGGCCTGGCCTGCCTGTGGACCAGCAAACTCGTTGGCTGTACGCGAGCAAAGAGCTGCGTGGCTGGGTTGTGAGCATACCGTCCCCGTTGCGCCCTTTCCCTCAGTGGAGGGCCGTCCCTGCCCTCGGGAGTAACTCGACTGTACACCCCTCCCTACTCTCTAGCTAAGGGCTCTGTTCACAGCGGGGGGGCAGTGGTTGTCCTGGCGGAGTCCTGGCGGAGTCCTGACAGAGTCCTGACAGAGTCCTGACGGAGTCCTGACAGAGTCCTGACGGCCTATTTTGGAGGTTTTCAACTTTGAGGTATTGTTACTATGTGAGGGTGAAATGAATGAATCAGTTCTTTGGGACAGTGCAATCCTTTTAATTATTACCTCCAACTCAAAAAAAGTCTGATGTCAAACGGACAACGGGGTCCCTTATGGTGGCCTGTAAGGGTAAGGTGCGGGAGGTCCACAAACCAGGTTATCAGCTTTCAGGTTTACCCGAAAAATACCTGGACGCGTCCCGACCAACGTTTGCCGCGCACGACGCCATATCGCCTTCTCCCAGGGCCAGTGCGCTACTTGCGGCGCGCAACGCCTGCTCAAGTACGCGCAACGACCAACGTACCATATGCTGCCGCTATGCGTGCCTTAAGGCGGCTGCGGCGAAGCGGCGGGCGCGGCATGCCGATGGCAGTGCGGACGATGCGGTTGCGATGTGTTCTGCTTCAAGATCGTGGCGGTGCTTGGCATGCACTTCTGCGATCCCAATCAGCTCATCGCAACGAAGCAGCGCAACAAGCTGGCTGCTGCCAACAAGGCCCTATGCTACCTCACGCGCGGATCGTTCAATACAAAGAGGACCAGCATACACAGAGGCTTCTCTGACACGCGTCTGTTTGAGCTTGAGGCTATTTGTGAGAACTGTTTGGCTAGAAGTCGCCGAACATTGCGCTCAGGAGGCAGCAACGAGAACCGGAAGAGGAGGATGCTGAGGCGGCGATTGCTGAGCATGAGGAGGATCGATCGCCCGCCGCAGGCGAAGAAAATTTGGGGGCTGTGCCGATGTTGATCACGGGGCGTTGATCACGGTGGGAGCCTTGGCCCCAGGCCGTGCCACGGCCGACTTAGCCGATGTAAGAGGCTCCCGCTGATCTTAGACCGCGCAAGCACTCCAGCGTGGCTAGCCACACTTAGACCCATTAGGCCTCCAGGCTCAGAACTTAGACTACTACCCAACCAGTGCGCCAAACGGCAAGCCGCACGAAGAACTCGGCGATGCCGCAATGGTCAACCCGCGTGCGAAGCACGCGACACGACACAAATACCTGCTCAAACGACTCGTCAAGACCCTTCGCTCGGCGTGGGGCATGCTCATCGAGATGGAGCCGACTGCACACCTCAGTTACAGTAACCCAAAACAACCTGACGTGGCGGCGGCGAACATCGGCAAAGGGCATGTGCGCCTCGTTGGCGACTTGAAACTCACGAGCTCGCTTACGTGCAAGGGTGGCGATCGGCTCGGCTGGAAGGGGGCTTTTGTCGCCTTCGGCAACACCGAGCGGGCGCTGCTCGACTTAGTGTTCGGGCATGCTGCATGGCCGCGGCCGGAGGGGGGGGGGGAGGGGGGGAGGGAGGCGGAGGATGCAGAGGCGGAGGCGGCGGCGGCGGAAGAGGAGGAGGGGGAGAGTGAGGGGGAGGCGGAGGCGGAGGCAGGGGCACCTGTGACGGCCCCCTACAAGAAGGGCGACTACCGGTTCGCGCGGGAGAAGAATTGCGACCTGCGTTTGCTCGACTTCGAGACGTTCGGCGGCTTCGGGGACGGCGTCCGCAGAATTCTTCGGCAGGCGGCGGACCAGCTGAGTAACAAACTTTCGCACGCTCAGCACCTCGATGAGGTCACATGGACCACCAAGAACTGGCACGGGCTGCAGATGCAGCGCTTGTCTGTCGTTCTCCACACCGCCGTGGCGTGGCAGACGGTGAACGAGCTAGCGTGCGGGGACAGCGGCATTGTGCACGGAGCTAAGTGCATTGCCGTTCTTAACGGAGTCGCTTAGGCGGCTCCGGTGGTGTGCCGGTGATAGTACTAGCACGCGCCAGTTCGCACCTGTGTCGATCGAGCCTGTGTGCTAATAAAATAAATAAATACAACGGACACGCCAAACGAGGGGTGGGAGAAGGACAGGGTCCCCACCTGCACAAGCAGGATCTTGTAGGACGATCAGCCTGTGAGAGAGAGTTTCTTGTTTAAATTCTTCTCTGCCAGCCAGACGCCGGTCACATCAACAAGTCCGCTCTCCCTGCCAATCGCCCCAAATGGGCGACTACCAATCCTTCGACGACATGCCGTCCTTGGCGCCTCTCCAGATCACGCCGCAGATGATGGCACAGGCGCAGCAGCGGGCGAGTGAGGCGCCGGCGCCGGCGCCGTGGGCACCGCCACCGCAGCAGCATGTGGTTGCGCCGCCGATGCCAGCTGACGACGGCGGCGACCAGCTCGACTCTCTGGCGCAGATGTTTCCCGACTACGACCGCGACGTCCTCGCCTCCATCCTGGCTACCTGCGGCGGAGGGATCGAGGAGGCGATCCAGCAGCTGCTCGAGATGTCGGGTGGCGGCGGCGGCGGCGGCGGCGGCGGCGGCGGCGGCGGCGGCGAGTACGACTCGGACGAGGCGATGGCGATGGCGCTCTTCAAGCAGTTTGCAGACGACCTGGTCCAACAGCTCGGCCGGCCGGTTCCGCCGGAGGTGCGTGACGACCCGGTCAAGTACGAGGCATTCATCCGCGAGCAGTTTGAGCGCGAGCTCGGCAACAGCGACTCGCGCCTCGCCAGCCAGGCGCTGGCCATGTACGAGTCGCAGGGGCCGCGCGGCGGCGGCGGCGGCGGCGGCGGCAAACCGGCGGACAAGGAGGGCTTCCTCGAGCGCATGCGCAAGAACTTTGAGAGCCGCAGGCGGCACGGCGTCGAGGCGGACGGGGGGAGCGCATCTGACATCAGATTAGATCACACTACATGATAGGCAG